ACTTGTAACAGAGGAATAATATAAATCAGCAACATAAGGCTCCTGTAGAACAGGCAGTCGAACTTGAACAGAAAACTCCCTCTGTGGTTCAGGCAAAGATGAGCAGAGAGCTGGAGCAGAATTACACTCGAAGTCATCAGAGATATGCTTCTAGACTGGACTGGACTTAGACACCTGCATGCATCAAAACTTACAAACAAACTGACAACAAGACAAGGAAGAGAAGGTAAGAAAAAGCCAAGATAATGAGGGGGGGAACGAGAGACAGGTGAAGAGAGATGAGCCTAATGAAAAGTGATAACAGCTGTCAGTAATGAAAGTGAAAGCGGCAAGTGAGTGAGTGAACGAATAACCAGCAGGGGGAGACAGAGAACGAGCCAGGATCATGACAGAAGGTGTAAGGATGCTCGATTACTTCCGCCGATCGTAGAGTCCAATGCAATACCGAGAATTTATATTGAATTATATACTCCATGGTTATACTAAAGAAACGTTAGTCACAAAAACAGATAAAACAGACACCCCTCGTTGTGTTTATGCTTCTTTTTAAAATTATATTAAATAAACATAACTATATATAAAATTACATCTAAACGTAAGTACGTTTCGTTTCAAATACGGGAGGACAGTAAACTTTGAAGACTCTGCCATAATCCCGTTTTCCTCCGCTTAAATCTCCACAGCCGGAAATGGACGAGCATCCTTGCGTCAAATGCGGAACTTATGCGTACATATAGCCCATTGTATAGAGAGCCTAAGTCCCTCCCCTTCCGGTCGACCACCATGGGACCTTATTTTGGAAAAATATTGAATGTTAGTCAATGGTGAAAGACAACAAATATTTTGATCTCGTTTGAATTGTGCCCTGAATTACACATATGATGTTTGTCAATTTAAAAGATACATTTTAAAGTAAAGAAAGTCGCAGATTGATGTAAAACCGTTGAGGTATAAGACGTAATTACAAAGACTACAAACCCCAAAGGCGCACATTTTCTCTCAATGAATGAAGCTAACTTTACTGAGGCTGTCTGTCATTGTTTCTATAGTCTTACGTTATAATCGTAACGTCACGCCGTCATGAGTGTTTTGTACCAGACTGCACACACACGAGCAGCGGATCTCACTCGTGGTTTCGCTTCCCGGGAGTTGTAGTTCATAGAGCGATTTTCACATAAAACTAAATGTTACTCTTCTGTTGTATGATTGATTGACTTTCAGAATTATCTTTTAAATTGACAAACATCATATGTGTAATTGAGGGCACAGTTTAGACGGAATAAAAAGATAATTTGTCTCTCGCCATTGACTACCGTTCATATTTTTTCCGAAATAAGGTCACATGAGCCGGAAACGGAGGCACTAGGCTCTCTATATCTTCAAATGACTACTTTTGTTGCTTGACAGTATAAATCACCATCCATTTTCCTTGTATGGAAAACAGAAACATACAATCTCACTTTGTGATTAAAAAAAAAAGAACTTTTTAAACTATTTTTAGATTAACTATTTTTTAATACCTCCTGTTGTTAAATAGGTGGTGCAACTACCTCTATCACTGAGCGATGGGAGGTGGCACCATGTCTGCATCACTTGGACTACCAGAGATGGGCTTTGGGAAGCCTACCAGGATGGCCAAAGATTGGGTTCAGGAGACAATCTGGCCCCCTGGCACCCTATCAAGCCTGGAGGAGTCCTCATCCTGGGCCAAGAGCAGGTGAGAACATAAACAGAGCTGATACAGCAGTTCCCAGACCTGGTCGCAGTGTAGCTGTAATATTATGCCATCCCAGCACAACAGTGTTTCTGACTCATGAACTTTACATTTTTAATAAAACTTGACCTCAGGCAGCAAACAATGTCATAGAGTTAGCATGCACATGCTCTAAGAGTGAATAAAAGGGGATATTGTTGTTGTCTTAACGAGGCCTGTCGTTTATGGCCTCAACAGGATGTAGTAGGGGGGCGCTTTGATGCCACCCAGGCCTTTGTGGGGGAGCTGAGCCATTTTAACATCTGGGATCGGGTCCTGCGCTCCACGGATATCATCGCCATGTCAAACTGCTCATCCTACATGCCTGGGAATGTGGTGGCCTGGACCGACAGTAACATCGAGGTTTTCGGAGGAGCCGCAAAGTGGCCGCTGGAGCTATGCGAAGACCGGCTATTCGACAATTAAGTGTTTGCGGATATTTGTGAGCGATATGATATCCTTTTCATCCTAAAAAAAAGATTTATCTTCATCATTCAAACAAGAAGTAGCAAATAGTTCTAAGAATAATCAACAATATATTTAAATATTTTTGGAGAGATTACAACATACAGATAAATGTAACTTTTCAGTTAATATATTCTGTTGACAAAAGGAAATTGGCATTTTAGAAAGTATTGAATCAGATGGTAAATGAATGACCATCATGATTATGAACCATGCATTACCATGTCACCTTGTTGGTTTATAGAAACGCACACACACACACACGCTTATCCTGTCAGAATGTAGCTGCGTTAAGCCCAAGTCACGTTTCATTGCTAAGTTTTTGATTTGAAGAACAAGGTCACGTATTATAGGAAGATTGTGTGCTTCACAAGTCAAAAGACTTTGGTGAGGGAGACCACATTTTTAGCCTGTTTAGCATTAGCACAAACCATCAGAGCAAATCATGTGGTTAAAATCTGTTAAAGGTTCTTATAAATACATATTTATTTTAAAATCTTTCGAGTCTAAAGCCCATCTCTATTTTCGCTGAGTGAATTACCCATACCCATTGTACCAAGACAATTACTGAACTGTGAATTATGTTGCAAGGTCTGTTTCTTTGAATATTTGATCATATTTTTATACCCTGCTTTTATATCAGATATGTAATTTAGTGTTGTTTTGTTTATGCAATGTCAAGAGACCCATATTTTGTTTAATGAAAAGCCTTTTTTGCTTACTGTGCCAATTGTTCAAGGTTTGCTTGACAGTGCTTACCTGTAATTGCCAATGAAAAATAAAATAGCGTTGAAATCTTGTTGTTTTTCTGCTATATTTTCCATTGTGGTTTAATCAACACCAATAAATAAATATAGTATTGTAATAGGCAGTCATTTTCTATAGCTACAACAGACATTAGCCTTTGTGGCAGTGGTACATTTGTTTTTACCAAATTTAGTATCAAATTAATTTTTACCAGATTTACCCAAATATACTGTGGAAAACTGCAATGAGAATCAAACCTCTGCAGATATAACTGTGGTAGAGGTCAAAAAGTGGAAGGAAAGCATGTAATCACACCGTTCTGATGGACAGGTGGCTCAGAGGGCATTAGCCTGTCTTAAGGGATAAGATCAGTCCCAAGCCAAAGCTCGTGTCACAGAGGGACATTTCACAGGACTGGACAAACTATTTAAAAAAAGAAAATGACCTTTAGAGAGGTGGACATAACATTCAGAAGTTAATGGGTGGAGTAAGAGGTCAGCGCATCCAGTTTTTAGCCACGGGTACTGAGAAGATCTCTGGGTTCTGGAAAGAAAACAGCTGCATCTCCGTGACCTTCACCTATAGGGAGAGAAAATCTCCGGCTTCCTCACAGCTCACACCCCTGAGATGATTAACACTTTAAAGAATTCTGTTTACTCATGCTCTGCCAAATGCATTTCAGTCACACATCAACATTATGAGCTTTGAAGGGAAGGATTTGACTACTGGCTGTGTGATTTATAAGTTGCAAAACAGCATTAATCTGAATAAGGAAGAGTGACATGTTTAGTATTTGTTTAGAATTGGATCATTTAAACCAATACTGCTAAAAGTATTATAATAATAATAATTTCAAAAGATTGTGAATGCTTTTTTTGTGGTTGTCACTATTAGATTTGTATTAGTAACATAAAGGTGGACACTGTTTATTGAATTTACTGAATTTAATTATTGGGTTTTATGTGAAAATACTGATGAGGTCTCAAAGGTGTGGATGTTTAAAATCTATTTAAAATGTAAAAATTTTAATCATTTTAAAATTCTTAATTATTTTTTTTAAATGTAAAATTCAGTCATAATTTATGAATAATACAAAACATGTTAGAAGCACCTTAATTAAAAATAAATTAATTCTCTGAGTAAAAAAAAAAAAGAAATAAAATTATGACACATCAAAGGTTTGAATTTATTGATTTTATTATCTCCAATAGCTAGATCTAAAGCGTTCCACAACGTTTCCTAAAATACAGCACGCCTTAAGTAAACACACTTGTTCAGACATTTTTTTGAAAGGAAATCAACACTTATATCCAGCAAAGATGCATTCAACTTATCAAGAGTGCAAGAATAAGAATAATGCGACAAAATTTTCAACATTTTAAACTTTGGAACTCTCTATTAATCAAACAATCCTGCAAAAATTAAATAAATTTGAACTGTTTTTTGATCACCACAACAGAATTACGAAGGCTCGCTTCACACTATACTCTGTAAAAAATATATTGTTGGTTTAACTTAAAAAATGAAGTAACCTGGTTGCCTTAAAATTTTAAGTTCATTGAAATGGAAAAATTAAGTTGATACAATGAAGGATATTACTTTAATCATCAGAAACTCGAAATATTATGTTATCCGAACTACATAATTGACAAAAGAAAAAATGTGATTAAAAATCATGAAAATATTTTTTTTGCAGTGTAAAGACTGGCTGCTGAAAATTGAGCTTTGCCATCACAGAAATAAATTGCATTTTAAAATATTGAAAAGTTATTTAAAATACTAATACTATTTCACATTATTATTACTTTTACTGTATTTTTGTGTTTTTACTTTATTACAGTTTTCCAATAAATAAAGCCTTTGTGAACATATATACTTCTTTCAATATATATATAAAAAAAAGATTACTGACCCTGACCATTTGAACGGTAGTGCAAGTTATGATAAATTAGTGTGTAGGCGAGAGGTTGTACTAATTGGTCGATCGTGTCCTCGTAAAAAAAAAAAAAAAAAAAAAAAAAAAAAAAAAAAAAAAAAAAAGATTAAAATTTTGGCTTAACTTTTGTAAAGAAACATTTTCAAGTCCTTCCACACACACATGACTCCTGTTACACCTCCAAGGGCAAGAATAATGCCTCAGCTTTTGAGCTGAAGGGCACAGTTATTACTAGATGTATGATGCATTGCTCATCTGTAGCCTTTAACCTACAGAGATATTGTGCAGTCCCTTGTGGAGCTGTAATTCTTGTCTTCCTGGTACCTCACAGTGCAGATGGCAAATGTCATTGATCATCACAGCAGGAATATACAGGTCAGACTCATTCATTCCAGCAGAAAGAGCTCTAGGTCTTATACAAGGAAACTCTCACTCATAATCACTTGCAAAGAAATATGATGGTTTTCTGTACAGCCGTGTGTTTTGTACATGTGGGTCAGGTCTAAAATTGTAACAATATTCCAAAGCACACTTGTTGAACTGCATGCAATCCCTCAAACCTTATGTACTTTTCTACTTTAAAAGGTTCATCACCAATGTCAACATCCATTAGGATCTCGAGGAGTTTTGCATTAACAAATGGAACCTTTATGAAGTGGAACCTTGAAACCTACTCAAGTAAAAGAGCAGAGAAAACAGCTGTGACACAGAAGAGTGATGATTCAGGTGAGCAAAATGAAAAGCTTTCATGGGTTCTGATTTGGGATATTTATAGGATTGTGTGTCTACAGCTACCTGCCTTCTCTGTCTTAGCTTCAAATGTAAATAGATTGACAGTGTAACAAAATAATGAAATGCATGCATTGAAAGAAGGATCAAAAGGAAATGAATACTTCAAATGTATTTCAGTTTGGGGTGGTCACCGTGAGACTAACAGGGTTGGTTGTTGTGGGAAGCCCCCCTGGCTGATGACTTCATTTGTCTTAGAAGCAGGAGAATTGCCCTATAAAGGGATGGTTGCATCCTTGACACGCAACTCAATGTCTGTGAAGGAGAGATAATTCCTTTCTGCGACCTGAAGACAGACAAAAAGAAAAATGACACTTATGATATTTGCTAAATACATATACTCTCATATCAAATACTGTTTATAATCCGATATAAAAACCGTATAATTCCAAACTGTCACTGAGCTTTGCTCACCTGTCACTTTATTTCCTGACCTGCATAACTCAAACCTTCATTGGAAAATAAAATACTACTAAAAGTAAATAAATTCAAATATGATAATATTTTTTTAAAGTAAGAAAATATGATTCGGAACAGTGTGATTTAGTTTGTTTGTTTTTTTTCCTGGCCAGTTGCATACATCTATGTGTCTTACATTCTTAAAAATAAAGGTTCTTGACTGGCAACAATGGATTCACAAAGAACCTCGGTAGTCTGAACGACTAGCAGTAAGGCAAGGGGTAATTAGTCTTAAAGGGATAGTTCACTTTGAAATAATTTTTTTATATGTTTTAGCTTACCTCATGGTCATCCAAGATGTAGGTGTCTTTGTTTCCACAGTAGTTTCAATTTTGATATTTTTAAGTCAAACCACTCTTGTATGTCAGTCATATAATGCAGGTCTATGGTCACCACCTCAAAGCGCATGCACAGAGAAGTCAAAATTAAACATGATTTAATGACTCGTAAATGTAAGTACACATTGATGGCCTAAGACACGAAACGAGCGGTTTGTGTGAGAAAACAAACAGTATTTATACATTTTTACCTAAAAAAAAAAACAATATAAATACTGTTCGTTTTCGACTTCTCTGTGCATGCTCTTTGAGGTGGTGACCATTTGCCCTGCATTATATGACTGACAAAAAAGAACGGTTTGACCTAAAAATATCAAAATTGAAACTACTGCAGAAACATACCAACAATTAATTTCGAAGTGACCTATCCCTTTAATTATTTCTAAACGCTATTTCTTATAACTAATTAAGTGAAGGTAACTAATAGAGTCATGATAATAGAAAAACAACAACTATTTAATCTAACTTTTAAAACTACATTCATTTATAAATGTTTTTTTAAAAACTTCTAGGAGACAGAAATACATTTCTAATTTAAAAACAATATTTTTACTCAAAGCTTATTTCTAAGAGAATACATTATACAATTTAACCCCCACAAAAGGAAGAAAGAAGCATGGACTAGTTCCTTGAAGAATAATTTAGCGTCCTCTAACACAGTGGTTCTCAAACTTTTTCAGGAGGAGGAAAATCCTTTTGTGGCCCCCCAAAAGAAAACTCATAACGAAAACATCCTCAAACGTACAATTTTACTTACAAATTTTAGATTGTACCAAAAACAAATGAATTTGTACAATGCTGGAACAACAGTTCTGTTTTTAGCTTTATGTCTTTGAATATACAAAATTAGTTAAATTGTACATTTCATTAAATATAACATTTTTTTTATAAAAAATGGTTTTGACAGTTAACAGTAATATTGTCTGAAAAGTGCAACAAAAGTATTGAATACTGAACATTTGTGATGTTCATAGTAAAAGATAAACACTGAAAAATTAATTTGCTGATTGTAAAAAAGTGCATTAAACTTCTTACATTAAGGATGTAAATGACAGTGGCTCAAGTTTGGTTTGCAAATTTGAACAGCAATCTGTTTTTTCAGCAAGAAACAAAAAAAAAATTCTACTCTACTTAAAGAAATACTTTTTCAATATAGAAGACATACAATTTTATACAAGTTTTACAATATAAAAGAAATCATGCAATGCAGATTTCACATAGGACGATCCAAACTTACATACAGGTAAAATAATTTTTTTAAATAATTTCATATTCTAGAATTTCTTTGCGGCCCCCCTAGCGCCATCTAGTGGCCCCCAGTTTGAGAACCGCTGCTCTAACAAAGGCTTAAATACTTTCTGGTGTATGTCAACCTCTAGTGGACAAACCTGAATGTTACACTTAATTCAAGCTATTTACACACAAAAAAAGCACACAAAATAATAACATCTTCACATTATTATTTCTTCTTGTTCTCTTTCCTGATGTGAATCACTCACCAGTGCCTTAGAGATGAGGGATTGCTGCCGTGGACGACACACTGACACAGAGATGAATATGAGGGTAGCAACAATCACTGCAGTGCAGGGTAAAATGAAGAGAAGACTCACATCTGAGGAGAAAAAATATTTACATGTGAGATTGAATGTAAAACAGAAAAATAGCATCAATGATATGCGGGAAATGGGACTGGACGGCCGAGTCACAGCCTATTCCAACAGCCTAATCTATAGTGATAACACTTTTATACAGCAAATAGTCGAATAAACAAGAAGCTAATATTTTGTAACTTACATTTTAGACACAATATTGCCAGATACATTGTCTGTGCTCTACTAAGCTCTAAACAAAGTTAAATAATTTGACTCGGAGTCAACATGTCTCCAACCAAGAAATTACGGAATACACTGGTGTTTTGAACAAATCATAAAGATTCAATGATCCAATCACTAATGGAGGTGTGTTTACTGACTGGTGAATATAATACCCCCTGGGCACTGCAGATCCATTGGCCACATCTGAAAACTTAAGCAGTTGATATTTAGGGTAAATTCCAAACAGAAGGGAGCATCCCCATGCCCTACTCCCTTTGAAAAGCAGAGACCTTGAAGTAGGGACTTTGGAGTGAGCATGGCATTTGCGTGTCACTATGTAGCCGTTTGAAACGCACTTTGGGAAGGGACCAATGAACTTCAATAAAATGTCCTCTTTATCTTAATCTTGGATGTTCCCATGACAACGCAGCATGTATCAGCTGTTCTTACAACAACAGAAATTTATTATAATTACAGTTGACATAACTGTTTCAAATACATATAGATTTTATTTTAAAAAGTTATGGCATATAGACAACTCCCTGCTGTCTGAAGCAGGTATAGACCTTATTCAGAGCAGCGCCATGACAGGTATAAAAGTGAGGCTGTGAGGGATAGACTTACCATGTTTCCAATGGCATCTGCTGTAAAAAGCTGAATAAAGCGGCTAGATTACTTACAATTTTCCACAGCTTACATTGTCGGGAGTTTTTTGTCAACTGACATTTCTTGGAAAGATATTTTTCCAGTGTTTCATGAGCAGAACAATCCGAAAACACATTAAATAACAGTACAGCCCATTGAAGAGATGCAAGTCTATCCCTCACAGCCTCGCTTTCATTCTCATTAAAAATCAAAGATGGAGCTGCCGTGAATAAGGCGTATTTCAACCAACTCCGTGATGTGGGCTAAACATAATTGCTGTGTCCGAAATCTCCACTCCTACTCCCTACCCCCTATATATGGGGTAGGGAGTAGAGCACTATATAGTGAGCTCACCAGCATAATAGAAACACCACTTTCGGACACTACTCGATCGTGTCTCGCAGCTGGTGCCGAGCCGGCTCTGGCTAAATAGATTTTTTAAAATAAATACATTACGTTATATTGAGCTTATTTCTCCAAGATTTCAAAACTAAAAGTCATTTCTGGCCGTTTCTGTTATAATGCGCTACTCCACACATGATTATAACTTATTTTTACGATCCGCGCAATGCATGATGGTATGTTAGTGACCATCGGTTGTACACTACTTTTCAAAATGCTTTCTGGGATACATTGAGTGGACTATGTAGGGTATAATAATCATCACTATACATTCGGACAGCACTACAAAATGGCGAGCTCACTATATAGTCCACTATATAGTGAGTAATGGGTGATTTCGGACACAGCAAATGTCACGATTAGCCATGCACTTCCTGGTTTTACTTGGACTACATTTCCCATCACCTCCCTGGACTGATTACACCAGACACCATACACCTGCACGGCACTGATTGCACACACACCTGCACTTCATTTACACACACAATAAAAGCCACTTCCACACACCACTTCTCCGCGAAGTATTGCCTTGCCATCAGTTTACTATTCCAAGTGCTAATCTGTCTGCTGATCTTATATCGTACCTTGGACTGTGTACCTCGACCTCTGATTGTTCTCTGCCTGTCTTGACCCAGATTGCTTTTTGGACTTTGCCTTTTGCTGCCTGCCCTGCCCTGCCTTTGCCTGTGACCTCGTTCTGCTCTTTGCTCCCTCCGTTGATCCTGTCTGCTATTGATTAAACCTGCCTGTTGACCATTCTCAATAAAGCTGCAATTGGATTCCTCTGCGCCATCATTACACATAACATCCATAACTATTCTCCAAATAGAACATGAATATATGTGAACAAAAAGAAAGAATAAAATCATCCAGTCTATAAAATTGGACAAATATGTGAGGCAAAGACCAACTTGCTGAAATGCCCTTAAATATTGCCCATGAGGCAGCTTAGAATGAGCCCTTAGCCCTTCTGGAGGACAGAGACCCATGGTATTATAACCTAATATAATACACGGACAGGGCACAAGCAATGAAGCCGCTCATCTTTTGATGAGGATGGAAAGCCAGTAAATCCACCTGTTTACAGGGGAGAGCTGACTTGCTTACTTCAGACACAAACGCTGGATTAGTTTTAAGAGTCACCCTTGAATAATCCATATCAAACCGCATGCAGGATTTATGAACCGACAAAGCATAAATTTCACTAACTTGCTTTGCAGTCAAAAGCAGTTTTTAGCAAAATGAGCTTTAAATCAATACTATCTATAGGTTTAAAGGGGGGTTGAGATTGTGCATTAATCCTCTGGACTCTAAGGTATTTTTGGGGTCCTTGAGATGTTTTGACATGCCCTGAGATTTAAGCTTTTTTCAGTTACTTATAAACATATTAATGGCACAGGTGTAATTATACTCTATTTAGCACAAACAGGGCTACCATAATATGTGAGCAACATGTATGTACATGTTTATTTTTTTAGAGAATATTGTTTATGCATGATATTGAAAAGACTAAAAATTAAAGTTTATTAAGGCCACAAAACACATACTAAATACTGTATCTGTCCACATGACTTTTGACTAATGGATGTTGTAGCCTAATGAGTTTTTGCTTCAAAATGATCTGAAAATCACTCTGCCTAATCAGTCACATAAAACAATAGATTGTTTTAAATAGTGAAAAACATTTTTTTTTGTTTGGGAAAGGCAATATGCATGGGGGCCAACCCCCTCATGAATACTCACACACACACACACACACACACACATATATATATATATATATATATATATATATGAAGAGTTCAGATGCAAAAGCCTCTAAATGCCAGTTGAAATTTTCTTCTTTAATGATGATTTTTGTCGAACTTGTATATTTAAGTTCAGTAATTTCACTTAAATAACAATTAATAGGTAATTATCATTGCCATTTAAGTGAAATCACTGAACTTAAATATACAAGCTTGACAAAAATCATCATTAAAGAAGAAAATTTCAAATGGCATTTAGAGGCTTTTGCATCCGAACTCTTCATATATACATGCAATATATAACACAATATATAATATATAACACATTTGTATATTGTTATATATTGCAATCCTATAAATGAAAGTCAAAAGCAGATTTTTAGTCATACCTGGAAACAAATCCTATTCAAATAGGTTAAATGGGCCATTCCACAGAATGGGCTTTATGCCCAGCTGCACTACTTCCTGAACTTCAGCCAGCTCCTTGTTTCCTGTCTGCAGTTATTGGCCAAATTGATTAATCCAGGTGTGCCTGACCTCAGTTGTCATGGCAACAATAATCAGACACACCTGAATTAATCAATTTGGCCAATAATGGCAGACAGGAAACAAGAAGCTGGCTGAAGTTCAGGAAGTAGTGCAGCTGGGCATAAAGCCCATTGGTTCAAAGTTAGAGTTGGAAACATCTTGAAAAGAAAATTGTCTTTTTCCATAAATGTCTTTATAAAGTATTATTTTTTTTAAAGTAGGCCAATACATTTTATCATACATATTTCAAAGATAATTATTCATTATTTTGATATAGCTTGCATTGGAACAAACACTATAACAGCTGATTAGTTTATTTTTTACCCAACATATATATTTAACATATGAGCAGAAACTGTATAACAAAATCTTATTTTATGTCTATTTTATAGTAAAAACTAAAAATCTATCCAAAACTAATCAACGAAATGTTGTCATTACAGACACTATTCTATATCGCGATTAGAACAAATCTCAGTATGATCTACCAATATACTTTGGATGTGTTCATTTAAAAATGATGTTAACTAATGTAGGAGCGAGAGTGAACAGATGCGCAGATGGGATGTATATCTGTAGTAAACAACGCGCACACGTCTGTGCCATTCATTCATTCACACACAGACACAAATAAATTAATATTTAAACAGTCTTTGTGCAGTTTACAGACATTATTCTATAATGCGACTAGAACAAAGCACTTAAGAATAAATGACTTACTACATCAGCTGAATCCGTTGCTCCTCGAAAAGAAACTACCAGCACTTCTGAGGTAACGTCTCGGTTACATGTGTAACCCTTGTTCCCTGAGTGAGGGAATGGAGACGTCTCGTTGTAATGAACCATTTGGGATCTCGCTCAGAGGACCGATCTACTTCGAGTGTAATTTAACGAGCCAATTTCACATTGGCATGCAATCATTGCATTCAACGGCTCTCCCTCGTCAGCGCGGGTAAAAATGAGCAGCTGGTGCATGATGCAATCAGTTTTTCTCTGAGGAGTTGAGCCGAGTTGGCGACCCAGGCCCCAGCGATGGTACATCGCCCGTCGCAACGGGACGAGACATCTTCGCTCCCTCACTCACTCAGGGAATGAGGGTTACACATTTAACCGAGACGTTCCCTAACGTTCGTTCACTCTCGGGGTCCCTGAGTGGCTCTCACCATCCGGAGGATAACAACACTAGCAGGGACGGCAGGACAAATTCTGCCAGGGGAACACAGGCTTTAATAAGAGCTAGTCATGGAACAAGCATGTGGAACCTGCTGAAAGTCACACATATGGGCATCCAGGCCTAGAGCTGGCTCTCGAAGATACATCAGTTGTAGGCCTGGCACCGGACGCTCCGCAACGTCCGAACGCCATAGGGATGATCGGAGGACTCACAGGGTCTGCTAAGAGAACTCTCTGGAGAATTCTAGCGCACTTGTGGGTGCAGCAAGCCGACACTAACCCCGGGCCCCCTCGTGGCTCTG